CCCCTCCTCCCCCGCCGCTCCTTTTCCCCCTGGTGGGACCGGTTCTAAAATTAAATAAGCGAGTGTTTGCACAGAGTTTGTTGGCCCCCACGTGCTCGGGGGTGAGTCAGACCGCATCGAGTGTGTGTAGTTGTCAACACACTCACCCCTCACCCCTCTACATCCCCGGGACTTCCCTGCCCCCACCACGGCGTCGAATCTCGGCCCCTCTCCACTTCTCCAAACTCCTCTTCCGCATGGCGTACTCTGACCTTGACGGACAACTTTATCTTCTGAGTTGAAGCCCTCTCCGTCGCCGTCTCTCTTTTGGGCGGGCGCTCTCTGTCTCTCTCCTCCCTATGGGTAGGACGGGGAGAGAGACGAATGTGACGTTCTCATCGCCGAGTTGTCATTCATTCGGTCATTGGGGAGTCGGAGAAGACTACGGGGTTACTGGTTCAGACGCGTGCATCGCGAGGTCAGCAAAAGCAAAAGCAAAAGCGCCTAGCCGGTTTGACTCACTTCATCACTGAGAGTCAGCTTCATCGGTGGTAGAGATGGGTGCCTTCAAGAGAATCCTCTTGGCCCTCGCTTGTGCGGCAGCTGTTCTGGCACTCGGTTCGGATCTTTTTAACATTCATTATGCCCCCTCCAAGTATCTACAGAAGATTAATTTTGTTCGCTTCTCCACTAGATTCTTTGATTTATAGTGAATTATATTAAACTATTTCAATTCTATTTGCAGCATCAGAAAACGTTGAAGCAAGCTGGATCAAGATTTCAGAATTGACAAATGAAACTATAACAGTTGAATGGAGTAGCTCGGCTGCTGGATCACTATTTTCTGCTGTATTGGAAAACAGTGACAAGAGTGAGTCTCAGAACAAGGAAGCAACAGCTGACGACAGTAAAAAGTGCAGTGTTGAGGTAAAATTCTGCTTGGGAAAACTTGTGGCATGAACCTGGAAATTAAATTTGTGCCTCAACCTTTTTTTATGTTTTTACAGTTTACAGGCCTGAAGCCACTAACAAAATATATTGTGAAAATCACTTCTTCAGTGAAGGGAGAGTCTTCTTCAACAGTTAACACAATGACGCCCCCATCACTGGAGATGCCTGAAATAGAGGACGTCACATTTAAGTCTGCTCATCTTACATTAGCTCCACTTCCTGAAGAGCAAGCCAAAGATGTGGAGTAAGTAAACAAAATATTGAAGGAAAAGAAATCAAATTTCAGAATTAAAATATCCATTTTTGATTTTATAGGGGATATCTTCTGCTAGTGAGGCCACTAGAGGATGCAAAAGATTATCCTAAAGCTGAAATCAAGGACGCAAGTTTCAAGTCCAAGTTAGAGAGTTTGGTTGAAGCACCATTCTACATTGCATATGAATTTACTCAGGTAAATAAACAATGGAAAGGTGTGTATTTAACTAAAACACGTTACTCTGTTATTAACTTCTATTTCCTGTTTGTAGGAGGAGTTATCAGAAGAGACTGGTGGTCAAGTTCAGGTTGGTTCCGGAGCTGCTAAAAAGGATGGTAAATATGGAGCTGTTCAAGACCCGAAATTGACTAGTGGGGGAAACTACCGGGTTGTATTGGTTGTAATTATGAATGTAGAGGGGGAGAGAACCCTGTTTGCCGAGGAAAGCTGTCAAATGCTTGTGAAGTAATTATTGTTTGGCCCATTCACCTGCACTAATTGAGAATGACAAAATGGCACTAAGCTACAAACATGCTGCTGTAATTTTCTGAAGTCTTGTCTAGTTTAAATTGCTTTGCGAGTGTGCAAAAAAAAAATAATCAAGTATTGTTAATTGACTATTTGAGAAATTATATAAATACTTGCCACAATGGTAATTTTTACCCAAATCTATTGTACATGGAAACAGTAAGTTGGTGATGATTACTGTAGATGTTTCCATTCTAGAAATACTGTATGTAGATTAAATACCGCACTTTCCATGGTGCCCTTAAACTATCAAAAAGTACATCTGGAAATTTTTCATGTAGAAAACAAATTAAAAAAATAATTTAGCACATACAGTTTGTCATTTTATTTTTCTTACTTCAATGGCTGGCACTGTTCCTTGAGAATTACAAAACACAACTATACATACCTTTTAAAAATTAAGCCTATGATTTAAGGCTAGCTCATCGTCTCATTAAAAAAAAAAAATACAACCAAACATGATTAATTAAGTGCCCATCACCATTACAGTTTGGTAGAATTAAGTTTAGATATCTTGTAGTTGATTGGTGTAAATAATTTATAGAGCACAAGAATTTGTGTTGGCAAACCTTGAGAAAGGGCTAACACTATCACATTGTTTAGATCCTATCCTCAGAATTATAAAACCACAAAAGTATTGGAACTATTCACAAGGAAATGACAAAAAATTGATAACAAAATTACTTGGGGCTGATAATCTAGTGAGAAGAACAAATCAGTACAATATTTGGTCAGTTAGTTTGATTTGTCTGCTAGAGATAGAAATTATGGAGAAACACATTTCTAAAGAGAAAATAATAAAGCTCCAGAATTTAAAGGACATTCAGAGAGGACCAAATTAAGAGATCATGTGAGTCAAAATGGACTATCAAAGGTAAAATTGATTTTGTAAAATGGGAATTGATTCATTTTCAATAGAACTTGTGAGGCAATAGATTAGTTTATCTGCTAGGAGACTGTTTTGGTTTCGGCATTTTTGCAAGTAGAGCCTGGATATCTTTCTTCTCCTCATATGTTTTCCATAATTCAAATAAACTAATAATATACCTAGTTATTTCTTGAATTTTTTCTATATCTACACTCAGTTCTGCAAACCAGTTTTTGTGGTCTTTGCCAAGTATGACACAAGCTATTTCCAAACAAGCTGTAAATAGATAAAATCAAATTAAAAAATGGACCATGCTGACTATGTCTAAACAAGATGTTCAAAAATGGGGTATAAAAATATCTTACCAATAGCAATTTGATACGGTGGATATAGTAGACAAACATCCGTGCGCAACGAATCATTTACAACACGCCATGCCAGACTGAAAAGTTGTTCATCATTGCCAATGTCTTGAATCAACTGAATTAATGGACGGTAAGGTTGGTAGACAATAAGGCAACAATCCAGATTTTCCAGAAGGTAAAACTCGCACTCCAAAATATTGTTGGTGCGGTATGGGAAATCTGTTGTGTAGGCGTAGCTAAATTTGTTTTTCACTGCAAGACAATACGCATCACGCATGAAGTATACTGTTTAGGACCCTATGTACATTAAGAATGGATTGGGTACAGGACCAATGAACCACTTACCAACAGTTGAACAAGTTGTGATCAAACGGCTATTAGAAATGACACCAAACTCTTCAACTTTCGATGCTAAGCCAACACATGTTGGGGCAAGGAGAAGTGGGTCAATATATTTCAGGGAGTTACGAGCATAAAATCGTTTGAAGTAGACAGTAGCAGTTGCAATAACTTGTTGTCGAAGCTTCAAGTGCTCACCCAATATTTGGATGACTGAATACAAAAATGGTTATAAATTTAGGAGCCAAATAAAAATTAGTTAGCAGGAAAATATTGTAAAGCAAACTTACAGTTGGAAAAGAAGATAAAAAGTTTTTGATATTCTTCTTCTGAAAGAACTTGAAGATCAAGCTGCCTTTCTCGCACCAAATCTTGTTTGTCAAGAAGCCACTGCTGGCTGCAAATCAAAACAGTGAAAATTAAGCACAAACATAAACAACGTATTAAGTTTGCTGTTTAGAACAAGTCTGTAGATTTGAAACTATAAAATTATCAGCAAATAATTTTACTAGTCCTGTACTAGAATAAAAAAAAAGTATAAGAAAGGTAAAGTATCATCACAATTAGTAAACTGATCAAGAAGAACCTAACCCATCTGACAGAAGCCATACAAAATGGAAAAAAAGGTTATAAAACTTGAATGGAGTTACGACAAAAACTTACTAGTGAGAGCTCTGCCAAAAATTCCCCGCCATTTTTTGGTGGATTTAGATCACTAGAACGAAAAGAACCAATTTCAGCGTAAGCCGATCGCTTTATTGACAACAATTAATAACTTTTATGGGAAACCACCAAAGCCCTTCAGTGAGCAGCGCACGATTTTTCATCTTGAATAGTAAAGAGCAGAGAGAAAGAGAGAGATAGATACGTGCGAGAGAGAAAAAGATCAGTCTTGTGAAAATGGCAGCGGGCTGACAGACGTTGGAGCAGCTGAGTGCATTGAATCAGGCCACAAGTCACTTATGCCGTACTTGGAAGAACAAGAACTGGAAGACACCATGGACGACAGCAAGCCAGAGGTGTCTGTCATTGATGTTTACGACATAGCATCGGAAATTGGCAAGGAATTCGAGAAAATGATCGACGTGTATGGGACGGACGCAGTCATCAATTTGATGCCGAAAGTGATAAACGCCCTGGAGCAGCTCGAGGGCTTGGCCACTCGCAATGAACGGGAGAATAATCAAATCCAGGAGCTTAAAGCTCGCATCGCCCAGTTGGAGAAAGACAAAATTGGCAAAGCGGAAGATCGCCAGCGATTTGAAATGGTAAGAGGTGCCTGTCTCAGTGTGGCGGCCGCAGTGTGTCATGCAGTAGTGGTGGCAGCGGTGGTGGGGGCTGACCTTTTACACCTGAACTTTAAATGCTCTCCATCATGAGAAACAACTTTGTCCATTGACCCTGTATTTTATAGGTTCTCGATGTCAATTTATGTTTCATGTCAACCTTTTATACAGGAGCTGGAGCAAATTGAAGAGCACTGGAGGGAGGAGTCCAGAGATCTGGAAGCGATGGTCTCGCACTTGCAGGAGGAGAACCGAAAATTGAGTTCAGTGCTTGCGGAAAAAAAACAGGCTGAGAAGGCTCCCGATCCAGGTTACTATACACTCCTGACATTTCCAACAGTCAAGCAGTGCAATAGTTAAAGTCGATCTTATTTATTCTGACTTTAATTTTCATTTTTGCTTCCAGGTGCCCTATTAAGCCCTGAGGTCGATATGGCATTAGTGCAAAGACTTCGGGGCTTAGTAGATCGTCTCAAGGATCAGTTAAGGCAAAGAGACAGGGAGCTGCTCAGCAAACAGACTGAAATGGAATCTGTAAGATATTGTTGTTATGTTGGTGTCTTTTTTTAAATTTAAAATATTTCATTATTTTTTGGCAATTTTTAGTTGTCATCACAAGTCGAGCAGTTGACCATCATTAGCCGTGAATTACGAAGGAAACAACGCTTAGGGCAAACCCAAATCCATTCATTGATTGATGAAAGAGCTGATTTTCTTGCTCAATTACATGATCAGCAACGTGAAGTACAGTCATTGAGGCAGCGTCTTGGCTTGGCAGAAAAGGAAAATGAAGATCTGAGTATATCTGCTGTAAGTATATGAAGTTAAGTTCCAGGTACACATTTTTCCATTGAGCGACATGAACAAAATTTGTGCAACTCTTACAGCAAGACTCCCCTGATCTCACAAATAAAGTTATATATGACAAAGATGACCCTAACCGGCCAAGATTTACTACTCAGGAGCTGAAAGATATTCTTCATGAGAGAAATGAACTTAAGGCTCGAGTTAGTGACTTGGAAGATGAGTTGGAAATGTATCGACCAAAGGAACCACCAAAGAGGTAATAACTTCATTTTTGTTTTGTTTTTGTAGTATTTAGTTATAAGAATGGAATCTATGTATTGCTGAGCATTTTGATTTTCAGTTGCATGTGGTAGGTATAATGGGTGTTTTCTAATTTTCGATTTCATTGAACTGACTTTCATTCAATGACTTTTATTTCATTTTTATACTTCTTATGCTTCCATAATTCATCTTAGTTTTTTTGTTCTAACCTAGAATGATATCCTGATTACAGTGCACAGGACTATCATTTTGCTTTACAGGAAATATGTTTGCTTTTCAGCAACAACAGCTGCAGCAGCACTAGTAGGAGCATCAGTAGGAGCGCCAGTAGAAGCGCCAGTAGGAGCACCAGTTCAAGCAGCAGTCGTAACAAGAGTAGGCATGATAGCACAAGCGCCCAGAGCAATGCCAGCGGGAGCAACTTCAACAGCTTCAACAATCTTTCTCAACATTCTGAGGGAGATAGTACGCAACCTCGGCCCTCATTATTTAGATCAACAGCTTTTATACCTTCTCTTTTCCCCCTTCATCGTCTTCCCTTGCCGCAAGTGTTTGCGGCAGATGAAGACTTTGCTTCACCAGCATTATCCGTTGTAGTGATTCCCCCGACTGTACGTGACTTAGAAGTTCCCCTGGATTCAAATTCTTCTGAACATGAGCAAGTCTGCTCCTCTCTTGTCAGCTCAACCCCAGAGAATACGGGTTACATGAATCCAAGATGGCTCAAGTTTTCTACCCCCAACATAAATGGAGTTCGCACCCCTTGTACTTCACCATCTAAAGATTCTGCAGAATGTACTCCCAAAAGAGTGTCATCAGTAATGGTGACACTATCACCAGATGGACGTGTCTCTCATATAACACATGATTGTCCTGAGTTTTAGCTGTTTTTTTAATTAACACTCGCACAATTTTTATTGACCTATATTAAAGTTTTATTAATATTTCAGCATATTTTGTCCATTTTTTCCCCATGTTTTTTCTCTGTTTGTTTGATGCTGTTAATTGGATCATTTATCAGGATCGGGTATCAGGTGCTGTTGGAGTATATGCTAACTGTTAACTTTGGGTATTGGAGTCTGTTGTATTCGGCGCTACTGGAATGTGACTGTGAGGGCATCTCTATGCTTCGCTGGAGATCAGTGTTCATAATTTGCTATCCCAATCCCCTTTTTTCTAACACTTTGGTTTAGGTTCATATTAATAATTCACGGGATAGTAGTGGGTAATTTTTGTTTGCATGTTTTTGTAGCCCACAGGAGGAGGAACTGATCGTTGAGGGTCCATTGCCTCAAGAGCCAGATGATGCCCCTTGGAAAAAGTCAGATTCCGGAATACGCAAATTGTAAGTTATATTTCCTTAGTACTTTTGTTATTTAGGTGACTGGTGCATGCGGTAGGCAGGCAGCATGCTGGTTGGTGACCAGGCCACTGTCACTGTATTTACTTATGTATCTACACATCGTGTCACTTTTGAATACATCTCAATTTTATACTTTTTTATCTAATGGTCTGGGTTTTTAGAAGGCTAAAAAATTATTTTAAAAAAAACAAAACAACATCCTTTATTTTTTGCATGTCTTCAAATCAATATTTCTTTCCTACATTAAAATTTATTTTCTTTAGCATGAGGAAACTATTGTTAGGCGCTTGTAGCTTTTAGTTTACATTGTTATTTCAAACCTCTTTCTTTTTACTCATCTTGGAATGGATCTCCAAGTTCTTTCAGTTCAATTTTTTTTTTCATTTTCTTTTTGTTTGCACTACAGATTCAAATACCTTACCAACGTCATGTCCACCACCCAGCTCATCTAAGAAGCTCTGATAAAGTGAAACGTAAGGGGTGTGCAGGGTTTGCTTGGTTTGGGAGCCTCTGCTCGCTTTGGTGTAGTTTCATTCTTTTGACTATACCAAGGAGTCCTTGCTCAAGAATTGTAAGGGGCCCATTCTCCACCTTAATTGATGCATTGTCACCACTCAGGAATTTTTTTTAGTTCTTGTTTGTTCTCTGAGGTAGTTGCATTTATCAGTAGTCACTATCTTTTGATTTTGTAGATAAATGTAGTTGATTGTAATTTTGCTTTCTTAGGGCTCCCAGTGAGTATCACCTGCATTTTAGTGATCTAGAAAATCATTTAGTCAAGAAGTGCATCTTCTTTTAGATAATTATTGTTTAACATTTTGTATAAAACTTTGGATACAAAGCCATCCTGAATTTTGTTTGGAAACAAACAAAGGTTTTCAGTATTATGTACTTATATTTTATACTCTTGTATAGAAAGACAAAAGAAAAAAAGACCACATTCTCAGTGAGGTTTGCTTGGTGTGTGAATAGACTTTTGCTCCTTCAAATCTCTTTTTCTTGAATCTCTCTGGGTCTAAAGGTGTACCTATTTACCTGTCTGTTTGTGAACTGTACCAAGTAGTTTTGCAACTTTGATGTAACGGTTATGGAGCTTAAAAGTTTTTGTGGAAGCCTGTCTCTTGGGTGATGGTTTGCTTGCGTCTGTGTGCAGCTTCCGACGACTGTTCAGTGAGGGTGTCACTGGTGGTGGTACCAGTGTGCTGCCCTTTGTTGGAGGCAGTAGCAGCAGCGGCTCTAAACCGATCCTTTCGTCTTCTCTCTCCAAGATTGGTCTGTCTGGCCATTTGTCTTCTTCTGGCGCCCCCGACACGATCGTCTGATGGCATATCCACAGCTCTCTGGGCAGGCCTGGTCGACATAGACACCACTGGCAATTTGCAGCTACACACATTTTTGCGCCTGTGATATAATAATGCGTCATAACTCACTGTAGATTTGTTCCTGTGTTCACCTTTTTAAACGTTTGCATAGACTGACAAGTGTAAGACCAATGCTCTCAATTGCTTTTCATGTTTGGCATATCACCATTCTTTTCAAAAGGCACAATCTGTCTCAATGAGTATTTTGGCATATCGTTGGTCTCTTCATTGAACTGTATTGAAATGTTTCTTTCTCTAGAGTGCTTCAACCCTTTCTTATCCCTCTAAAAGTGTCATAAGGTGATAGTAGATGTAAAAGAGGCTGTGGAAAAGTATCTAATGAATTTTAAATGAAATATTACTTTTAGATGTATAGACATATTCATATATTTAATGTTGCTTCTGATACTGTGTTGACGCAGCTCAGTTGTTTTCTCCTAATCAAACGTCACATTTGTGTTTTACGAGATTGTATTATTTAGACCTAAGATGCAAGCTTTGGTGCTTTTATTAAGTATTATATGTGTACTAATGTGTAGTAATCAACTACCTTGTTGATACTCAATTCCCTTCCCCCTCCTCATTGTTTTGCAATGTGTTGTATCTTAATGGCCATTGTAGGTGTTAACATGCCATTGTAGTTGTATAATTTCTTTTTCTCTATGAAGAGTTTGTTGAAGAGCTTTGTTGAAAGCTATTGTTTAGCTTGTGGCCATAACCTTATATAGTAGTTGATCATGGACCTACATTTGTGTCATAAAGTTTTTAGAGTGCAAGAAACTGTTTCACTAGATTCCTAACCATTTAAGAGAAACCCAGTTGCTGCAAGGTATTATTCCTTTTGAAAATGTCAATGATTAGCTATGTTAATGAGAGATCATATTCAATGAAATACTGTACCTTACTGTTGACTTTCTAAACTTTCTATAGCAGTTCACTAGCCGTTAATGGTAAATTTAAGTAGTTTTTCCGAAGTTATACTTTTCAAAAGTGAGAAAAACTAATAATAATCAAAAATCTTTGTTGCTATTCTCTTAAGAAATAGTAGTGTTAGGTGTAAAAGCACTCTATTGTCGCAGTTTTAATCGAGACTGAGTGAGGAATTGGATCAAATATTTTGGTGGACCATATTGTGATGAGAAAGAATAGTTCTGTTCTGGTTCAAGGAGTGTGTTATCTGTACTGGTTACTTCAAACCCTCTTTTCATATTTATTGCTTTCAATTTGTCTTCCATATCAGCAGATCTGATTTATAATGCATTGATTTGTTTTG